CTCAGCGAGAAAGAGCCAAGATGGAGCTGTAAAGGCACTGTAACACGGCCCCGCGACGTGACCAGCAGGGTCCCTCAAAGAGGAAGATAAACCATCACACTCCGCAGCAACCCAGAGTCCGGCAGTCCCATCGCCAAGAGGGGCTTGCACAACTTGCCTCATCGGAGCACACAGTTGCAGCAAAAGCCCAGGGAAAAGACATCCAAACGTCTGCTGAAAGATGATTAAAACATGATGTAAACATCCCTGAGAATACTGTTTGGTCTTAAAAGGAAGGAGTTCGGACATGTGGAAGCCTTTGGGATTTTATGCTAAGTGAAATAAGCCAGTCACAAAAACGACTTGGTCACTACATAAACGAGGTCATCTAAACTGACCAAATTCGGGCGAGAGAAAATGTAGAAGGGGAGCAACCTGGTTCCATGCCCAGCTGGGTGCAGTTCTGGAGGCCCCCAACACACTGGGGTGGTCCTGGTGGCCCCCAGTTCCTCATGGCCCTATTACTGAACAAGCCAAGCTTGCAAAGTGTTGTAGGGAGTGAGTGCCCCACCCCCCAGGTCCTCCAAACACTCCTTGAGAAGCCTCCCTCACCCCCAAAGATTAACAATAAAACTGAAACTGGTCAGGATGGTAACTGGATTGTTTTTGTACCAAGGATCAATCCCAGAGCCTCACACAGCAAGGAAAACAAGCCCCCTACATGGAGCTCAGCCCCAGTCCCTAAATGTGTTTTTCATCAGACACACAAAAGCTGATGGACACATACCTCCACTACATGCTATAAAGACCACAGATGTAGGACTAGATTCTAAAAATACATGTCCTTTCCTGTCTAAATGGGAATACATAACATGTTTATATAATTCTCGGTAGCTTATAAACACTGTCGATCAGAAGCCAACCACTAAGATTTAGAATACCAATAAAGGATATATTGTACTTTAGCCTTAAATACTGGTGGAAATCTGAAAAGAATTCATAATTAATCAAACATTAATGTTCAACGTTGACTTTCCCTGTTATCCCTACTGTATCCTATTTTTGTCTGGCCATTCCTGAATTTGCTAAGGTTCTAATTCAAGAACAGCAGTATCAGAAAAAAATTCTAATCAAAAAAGGTAACAGTTTTGCCAAAATCAAAACTGAGGCTACCATATTCATCTATGCTTTTCTCCCACTTCTTGGCTTAAACAAGGACTCCCAGGTTATTCTCTTAATTAGAGGGCACATCTAACTGTGATTCTGCACTCTGCTTTAAAACTAAAAAGACACATAAAAACTCTTGGGAAGGCAAAAAAGAACTTGAGTCAGTTCTGTCATTCAGGTGTGACAGTATGCAAATAAGCTCAGGGCCATCAAATGAGGTGTGAAGATGCAACGCCATTTGGAGTTTTGGTTCAGTTTTTTTTTTTTTTTGGTGGTGCCAGGGATCAAATCCACCATTGAGGCACATTCCTGACCCTTACTTTTAACATAATTTTGTGAGATAGGAAAGCCAATAATTATTCTAACTTATTCTCCATTTTATTAAGTGAAAAATTAATCCTAGCCCAGAACTACTTAAGTTTTAACTAAAACAGTCTGTCTCAGATATTCAAATCATGTAAAATTTGAGAATACTGGCCAGGGGTGGAGCTCAGGGGTAGAGCATTGTCTGGCTTTGATCTTTGGCAGAGCCCCCAAAAGGACTTTTTTCAAAAAAAACCCACAAAGAAAGAAAAGAGCTAGTCTCATTTATTTTTTTGTTTTTTTTAGGTCATAGCCGGTGATACTCAAGGGCTACTGCTGGTTCTTCATTCAGGGATCACTCCCGCCGGGCACTGGGGAGCCACATGGGGTGTGAGAGATCAAAGTCAGGTGGGCTGAGCACAAGACAAGAGTCCTACCCACTGTCCTACCAACTCCAGTTCAAGGGGTAGGAAAGGTCTTAAGCCTTCCTGTCTCTCTGCAGCGCCAGGTCTCATACATGCAAAGACAATGGTTCTGTGGTGGAACCGTATCTTCAACCCTTAAGTATTTTTTGTTTTATTTCGGAGCCAAACCCAGCTGTGCTCAAGGGCTACTCCTCTCTCGGTATTCAGGGGATCAGACCGCACTGGGAATCAAACCTGGGCCTCCTGCATGCAAAGCTCCTGTCCTCTGAATTATCTCCTCAGGTCTTAAGTATTCCTTTTTGTTTTAATTTTGGGCCACACCCAAAGGTGTGCTCAGAGCTCAGGGATCACATGAGAACGCTCATCAGCTGCAAGCAAGGCAAATAACCTACCCACTGTACTATCTCTGCAGCCCTAGACCCCCACGTATTCTTAAGAACCAAACCTTCTACAAGATGATAAACTAACAACTTTGGATTTAACAATTCCATTATTCTTTCCAGTTCAAGTAGTGTTTGGACTCTGATGTGAACCATGGACTTCTTTTATGATTGTATGTCAAGTCACATTTTTATCACTTCTTACAGTCTCGTGGGTTGTAAGAAGAGAGCAGATGGAATCATTAACAGCAGCAGCAGTTACTTCAATGTCCAGGAAATTACATGCATACCATAAATGGATTTCAAATTTTATAGGCCGTAAGCCTCCCATTTTTTAATGGATCTCTGTATCTAACAAATGAATCAAAACACAGTATGAAGATAAACTCGGTAAGATGCTACTTCAATCATTAATCCCAACTTTGATGTTTTCATCAAATTAATCTTATTCAACTTTGACTCTGATAAACTATATTACATTTAATGTATTTTGAGTGTCAAGGATCAACCCTGGGACCTCATACATATGAAGCTCTAACACTGAGCTATATCAAGCTCCTATATCAAGGGTTAGTTTTTGTGAGTCTTCTGATTCTTAGTATGCCAGTTAACAAAATGCTCAACTGTCCCTTTTTTAAAAAAATTTATTTTTGCTCCCGGGGTCATATCTGGTAGTGCTCAGGGGCTGTTCTGGCATGTTCCAGGGACCATGTGGGCCTCTGAGCTCTCCCTCCAGCCCTGTTTTCACGGTTCTCTAACTTAACCCTCACTGTGGTGGTGCAGGTGACTACTATTATTCATATGATACCAGTACAGGATAATTAAGTACCTTGCCTAAGGATAAACTAGCAAGAGAAGTTAGAGATCCAAATCTGATCAAAGCCCCCCTTCAATTACTTTATTCCTCAATTCTATTCTTTAATACATTGCAATATCCTACTTCTTCACACTGGCTCACAAACACTTACTAGAATATAATTTGCAGTGAGTGATTGCTTAACAAGAAAATGAGTTTAACTTGTGAGGAATTTTGCGGGGTGGGGGGTATAATGGCTTCCTGTCATCACTGCTCACAGGTAGCACTTTAGTCTCCTGAACTCTATTTTCCTAGATCAAAATCTAAATTAAAAATAGGCCTCTGTGGTAGTGCAGGATCATTCTGACACCCTCCTGAAGTATTTAAAAAAAAAAAAAAAAACGCACCCAGCCTTGCTCAGGGCTTAATCCTAGCTCTGCACCCAGGAGCACTCCTGACCGGGCACAGGGGACCACACAGGATGTGAGAGACCAAACTGGGTCAGTCTCATGCAAAACAAATGCCCTATCTGCTACAGCTCCAGCCACTCTCCTTTGGGGGGGGAGGGGCAGGGGGCGTGGTATAGGTCACATCCAAAAAGTTCAGGGGCTACTCCTGGCTCTGCTCTCTGATGGTGCTGGGGGGACCATATGGAATGTTGGGAATCGAGCCTGGGTGGGCCACATGCAAGGCAAACGCCACTCTACTATCCCTACTGCCCTCCTCCTCTTTTAAGCTGGAAATGAGACAAAGGACTTTTACAACATTAACAGATTCTTCTGTAACCCAGTGAGATCGACCAAATCACAGTCTCTTGAACTTCTCAGGACTTCTAGAAAATAATGCCGTGCTCCTTCCAGGCACTTGCTGGAGATAAACTATGATTTGCCCATGCAAACGATCATATTCAGTGTCAGAGTCCCTATTTTTCCGGTCGTCTGAATCACTTCCATCCCAGCATCCGAGCTGCTGTCTCGGCAACAGCTTATCAAAGAACCAGATTTGTCTGGAATGAAATAAAGACGGAATTGGTAGCAGAAGTTATTTCTTGGAATGAAACTACACTACACAGTTTGAGCGGTTTCAATCGCATCGGGGAACACTTTCTGCGTTGCAATTACAAACTCACTCTGAATACAGTACAAGAAAAACACCTATTGTCAGAGGCTGGGGTGGGAGTACAGCAAGCAGGGCGCGTGCCAGCACTGGGCCAGCATGGGAACGATCCCGACACCCTGAGCACTGCCAGGAACGATCCCTGCGTGCAGGGCCGGGGTAAGCCCCGAGCACTGCCGGGCAGGGCCCCCCAAAACAGTCTTCCTCGCGCCCCTCCCCCACCTGGGTTCCATCCTCAACTCCCTGCAGTCCCCAGGAGCGATCCCTGAGTACCACCGGGCGTGGGGCAAAAGAAAACCGACCAAAGAACCCAACCACTGTGAAGGAAGGCATTTTTAGAAACACTTTCTCCTGACGTGACACAAGCCCCAAACGTTCCCAACAGCCACGTTAAGTCGCTTCAGGTCCTTTCGTTCAGTCGCCCCCATTCTGAGCCGCTGCCCCGGCCCGAGACGTGACGAACCGACACGCCAAACTCTGAGCAAGTTTTCGACCTGGAACGGACCGTGCCGAGGGGCACTCGTCAGTTTGCTTGGGAAACGTCCCCCAAACCTCCGCTTTCTGCAGAGCCGAAGTCCACATCCCCGGGGGAGGGGAGGGGAGGGCCCCCGAAGCCGAGCTCGCGCCCCCGGGAGCGGCCGCGGGCTGGGCGAGCCCCGCTCCCGAGGCTGGGGGCGGGCCGGCCCGGACCCCGGTCCCTCCGGCCCGCGCCGCGACCGGACAACGCGACACGGGCTCCGAGACCCGGTCCCCCCGAGACCGGCGCCCGGCCTCCGCCCGCAGCCCTGCACCGCCCCCGACCCTCTCCAGGCTCCGGTCCCGGGGCGAACTCACGGCCGCCGCGGCGCCGGTGAAGATGTCCTCTCCCTCGGTGTCACTGTCCCCCGCCTCCGGCTCCGAGCCGCCGGCCGCGCCCTCGGGCTCGCGGTCCAGGACGGGGAAGGGTGGGGGGAGTCTCTCCGAAGCGCTACAGCCGCCACCGCCCGACGCCATCTTCCTCCACCCGCGGCGGAAGCCGCAACAACAACTTTATAAACAGGCCGCGCCGCGAGCAAAGCGCTCTGGAGGCCCGAAGAGCCGGGCCAGGGCGCGGGGCGGGGCCAGGGCGCGGGGCGGGGCCAGGGCGCGGGGCGGGCCCAGGGCGCGGGGCGGGGCCTGTGTGACGGGAGCCTGGCGTTCCAGCTGGCCGGAGAGAAATGGCCGGCGGGTAAGGAGGCGGGGCCAGAGCGCAGGGCGGGGCCAGGAGGAGGAGCGGGGCCAGAGTGAGGGGCGGAGCCTGTGTGACGCGAGCTAGGCGTTCCAGCTGGCCGGAGAGAAAGAGCCGGCGGGGAAGGGGGCGGAGCCAGGGCGCGGGGCGGGGCCAGGGCGCCGCGGGGCAAGGGCGCGGGGCGGGGCCTGTGTGACGCGAGCCAGGCCGTCCAGCTGGCCGGGGAGAAATGGCCGGCGCGTAAGGGGGCGGGGCCAGGGCGTGGGGCGGGGCCTGTGTGCCTGAGCAAAGCGCCCCAGTAAACCCGAGACGGAAGACCGCCTCCTTGCCGGGGGCTCTGGGGGCGGGGCTAGAGCCTTGAGTGAGGGCGGGACCCTTGTGCCGGGAGCCAAGAGTTCCAGCGGGTCCGAGAGGGAGGGCGGCCGGACCCCAGCCCACAGATTCCCGGGGCGGGACGAGTGGCGCGGCCTATCAGCAGAGCGAGCCCTGCTGGGAGTGGTGGTGGTGGTGGTGGTGGTGGGGGGGGGGGGGGGGGAGGGGGGGGGGGAGGGGGGGGGGGGCTTATGTGCTGGGGGCGTGGCTTAGGCGGCGAGGGCGGGGCCTGCGGGCCGGGGGCGGGGTGGACAGACCAGCGTTTGCATACTCACACTACATAGTCTAGAGTCAGGGCGCAAACACCCTAAACTGAGGAGTAATGGGACAGATAAAGTACGGTTCGGGTTTTTAACAGGGTCCTTGAAAACCCAAGCATCGGTATGCCGCAGTTCACCCATGCTGAACACAGTGCGTTTATAGATGTAAACCCAGTGAAATCGTCCTGCCAGATTCCAACTGTCTCCTCAACGGAACCGAGGACGGGCACTGACTGTGACACGGATCTGGCATGTCATGGTGAATTCCTCGACCACAGGAGCTGCTACTTCCGAGTCTCTGCAGCTTGCGGGCCTCGTCCTGTCTCTGTACCCGCGACACTAAAGACCCAACAGAGTTCGCAGTTTCTTATTCTTATTTTGGGTCACAACCAGCGATGCTCACAGTTTCCTCCTGGCTCCGCACACAGAAGTTACTCCTGATGGTGCTCGGACTACATGGGGTGCCAAGGATCGAACCCGGGTTGCAAGGCAAACTCTCTCCCCCATGTGCTATCTATCGCTCGGGCCCCAGAGTTCGCAGTTTCATCTGATCAGGTGGAAGAAACTTACCGCACCCACCCTGCTGCTGTCCTTCCAGGCTGCGGACTCCTGACTTTGGAACTTTTTTCAAGTTTTTGGGTCACACCAGACGGTGCTCCTGAATCTCACTCCTGGCGGGTTTGGGGGGCTACACGGGGTACCAGGGAGCAAACCAGGGTCGGCCACGTGCAAGACAGACGCCCACCCCGCGGTGCTATGGCTCTGGCCCCACTCTGGGTTATTCTTGATGCTGTTGAAGAACCTCCAGAACCAGCCACCACCATGCTCAGACCACTCTCCGCACACATGAAGGTACTGGCAGAGGAACAAAGGCACGCGGATCTCAGGGCTAAGATCTCCAAGCCTACTCGGATGGATTGGGGCTGAGCATCCTCCACCCAGATTCTCCAAATTCCAATAGGCGGGGGTCACACCCACCAACTGGCCCCCTGGCGCCATGCAATCCCATCAATGGCCAGGACTCAGAGACTGTAAAACCCAGCTCCCGGAAGAGAACAGGGAAGAATCTCCTGCCCCCATGCCTGGCTGTCCTTGCTGGGGCCCCTTGGAGGGGACCGGGTTGAGTTCTCCTCCCCGCCCCAATCAGGGCTCCGGCAGCTGAAGATCTTATCATCTCATTCCTACTTTGGACAAACTGGCAGGCTACCGAATGTAACCTGCCCACACAGCAGAGTCTGGCAAACTCCCCGTGGTGTACCCAGTATGCCAAATACCAGTAACAATGAAGGGTCTCATTCTCCTAACTCTGAAAGGGCCTTGAATATGGCACTTTTTAAAAAAAATCTCAGGGCTAGGACGAATGAGATGGGAGGCAATCGACGAATAACAGGATGGTTGTGATTGTGATTGTTGAAGAACATGCCACCATTGGACCAGGCCAGCTGACCCTCCCACGGCTTCTCTTGAAGGAGACTGGCAGGGAAGTCAGGGTGGGCGAAAGCTCCGACAAGAGAAAACCCGAGTCAGAGTCCATGGAGCTGATGCGTCAGCACCCGAGTACCCCCCCACCACCACCACTGTGGGCCACGAAGCTCACTTCTGGACGCGCGTGGAAGTCGGGAGCCTGCCTGGGCGTCATGGGTGCCCAGCCGGTCCACGCCGCACCCCGCTCTGGAGCCCACGTTTCTTTCCTGCAACCACAGGAGGCCCGATGGGCCCGCTGCGGGGGCATGGGGGGCACCGCACACGCGCAAACAGACACAGGGACACGTGCGCACACGTGACAGACATGCAAGCACAGATAGACGCGTAGACGTGCGCTGACACGCGTGGGGGAAAACACGCACGCACGCGGGCAGACACGCACAGACACTGCTGAAACGCGTACACCCACGCGGACTAGCGTACGCGCACCGTCGCGGGACTACACTTCCCACAATGCACCGCTCCGGCCCCGGCCGCCGCGCGCCCTGGCGCTCGCCGCGGACGCCGCCGCGCGCCCGGAAGGCCGGCGCGGAGCACGCTGGGGCCTGTAGTCCGGCGCCGACGCCCCCGGCTGCTCGGCGCCCGCGAGTCCCGCCCGGCGCGGTTCCCGGCACCTTCGCGCCGCCGCGCGCGGGCTCCGAACAGGAAGTGGACGGGGTGGCGCGGCCGCCGCGCGGGACGGTGGCTCGGGTGGGACAGTCGCCAGGGATGGCGGAGCGGGAGGATGGAGCGGGTGTCCGGGCTGCTCTCCTGGACGCTGAGCCGAGTCCTGCGGCTCTCGGGCCTCTCTGAGCGGAGCGCGGCCCGGCAGCCCCGGACCATGGAAGAAAAAGCGCTCGAGGTTTACGGTAACTGCCTGTACGCCGGCGGCCTCCGGGGCGGGGGTCGGGGGGCGGGCCCCGGGTGAGGGGAGCGGGTGGGCGCCGTGCGTGCAGGGGCGCGGGCGCGGGGTGGCTCCCGCCCGGGGCTTGGCGTGGCGCGGGGCTTTCGGGGCTCGGTGGGGACCGGAGCCCGCCCGGCCCCGCTTCCCATCCTCAAGCCCGCACCACGCCCGCCACGGCCCACGAGGGCACTGCAGAGTGACTGCCCGGCTGGCTGGGGACCTGCCCAAGGTCACGGTCACTCCTCCAGCTGCAGAAGCAGCGTGCGGAGGTCTCAGGGGAGGAGAGGCGAGACCGGCCGGCCCCTGGGACCGCGCCTGCACCGGCTGAGCCGGGGGTGTGCTCACACTCGTCTCTGCAGATGCAGCCTCTTAGCCCTGGGACCGGCCCCATCGTGCAGAGAGGGGACGGGGGGAGACCTGGGGCCGCTCGGCCAGTGGGGGACCCAGAGAGGAGCAGACGTGCAGGCCCTTTCACAGCTGCCTTGGGAGTCTCCCTTTGGACCAGGCTGACTCTGACAAACACAGAGATGGGTGTGGGCCAGCCGGACCAGGTGGAACCATCGGCATAACAAATACAGTTTAGGGCAGGATGGGCAGGAGCAGGAAGCCGGGCCGGACGCTTATCCCGGGAGCCAAACCCGTTAACCTCTAGCTAGAGGCAGAACTTACCCAGCCTGATGATGAATCGCGAGTAGGGTGGGCCCCACAAAGCTGATGCGGGCACTTAAGATTGGCACTGCATACGCCCATCTCTGCACTTCTCACTTCCCTTTACCCACTTAATCCTTCTCTCCTGCGCTTACAGCTTGATGGATTTTCGTACATCTGTGTGTTTGTTCTCCGCCTTTCCTCTCTCTAGGATATAAGCTCTGTGAAGGCAGGAACTTTTTTATGTGTTACTAGGTAGGGCTGGAGCGATAGCGCAGCAGCAGGTAGGGCCTTTGCTTTGCACGCGGCCAACCCAGGTTCGATTCCTCTGCCCCTCTCAGAGAGCCCGACAAGCTACCGAGAGTATCCTGCCCGCATCACAGAGCCTAGCAAGCTCCCCGTGGCATATTCGATATGCCAAAAACAGTAACAAGTCTCACAATGGAGACATTACTGGTGCCCGCTGAGCAAATCCATGAACAACGGGAGGACAGTGCTACTAGGTAGAACACTGGGGGTAAGGTAGTGGATATCCTCTTTTTGATAATACCTCCCTTCCTTTTCCTTTTGTTGTCGGTGTGATCAGCAGCTGACTGAGGTGTCACTGGGTGTCACACTTGCTTTGGCACTTACACCTGGTTGCAGCACTTGGGGTCCTCTCAGGGTCCGCCTGATCTCACCCACTGCTGAGGCACTGCGGGTGTTTCTTAGACTCTCCGTGCCTGCAAGACGGAGGTTCCACCACCGAGACATTTCTGGGTCCCCCAGAAAGTAGGCTGTTGATGGAAATCCCAAGGTCTCGTAATTAGATGTTGAATTATAATGAACTTTTAAGGCGGATGAACCATACTCCTGTTCTGTTAGAACTCTGTTATTCGGGTGGGGGGTTCCCCTGGGAATGCTCGGTGGCCACTCCTGCGCTGGGGGGACCAACTAAACCTGGGCCTCCTCTGTGCAAAGCTGTGCTCCCGCCCACTCTTCACCCTGCCCCTGCCTCTGGCCAAAAACACTAGGGATATAACTTTGGGGTTTTGTTTTCGCTTCGTTTTGTTTTTGAGGGTGGGGGGAGGGCACACACATCTGTGTCCAGGGCTGACTCCTGGCTCTGCACTCAGGAATCACTGGAACCCTGTGGAACATTGGAGATCAAACCTAGGTCAGCCGCATGTGAGACAAGCACCCTCCCCACTATGCCATCTCTCTGGCCCCAGGGATACAGCTTTGGAAGAGAGAATTTTTTGTCTTTAAGCAGCATTTTTTGAGAAAGACATGTGCAAAAATTTTTTTTTTAATTATGTGTATTATAAGTAGGAGGCCAAACATCTGAATAAGAGATACGAAAATTTGCAAGAAGTGATGTCGTTGGGCCCCAGGGGTGACTTATGTGAAGTGGGGAGGAGAAAGACAGTCACTTTCTCCCCATGTGCCTCTGCCACCCGGGACCCAGGGTTACTGGATTCTTGTCTCGCCTCGAGAAAGGAATTTCAGGAGTTGACAAGCAGTGAAATAAATAGATTTTACTTGGAGGGTTTTAAGGTTTTGGAGGGAGAGAGAGTGAAAGAGAGAAGGTGACGAGCTCAAGAGAGAATGGGCTTCTCCAAGGGTGGAGAGAGCCCTACGCGCATCCTAGCATTAGACATGGAAGCATGAAAGCACTCATCTCAAGAGGGGAGATTCAGGCGACACATGTGCTCAGGTGCCACATGTGCTCAGACATGTGGGTGCAAGCAGCACATGGGCTCGGGCAGCATATGCGCGCCCTTCCTTTGTTCAACGTGGCCCTTATAGGGTTTCTCCAACTTGCACCCATATGGGGCTTCTTCCTAGGTAAAAATCCATTGCTAAGGAGATTACCAGGGGATTTGGGAGTGGTGATGGTCTTCTGGACTGAATCCCTAAAGTTAGGGTATTTGAGGAATTTTCTTCGGGGGAGGGGTCCAATCTCCTCCTGTTCCATTGCTACTCAGGGTCTTATCAGACCTTAGTTCCTGCTTTTCCTGTTTTCTGCAAGGTTGCCTTTTGCCATTGCCTTGGGAGGGGGCCTTCCCATCCTGCCTACATCAGAAGAAGGGATACCAATATCTCTAGTTGGATCTGAAAAGATTTTAAGGAGGGGTCCTTTGGGTTGGGCGTGAAGTCTAAGAGTTTGGTTGGCTACTTAAAGGAACAGGACTCTAGAAGAAACCACAAAAGGGTATCTGGGAGGAAAAAAATTCCCCTTTTGGGGAATGGCATGTAGTCAGGGCCTAGGATAGGGTCTGAGGGGAAAGGTGAAGGTCTGGTCAAAAGGGGCATGAAGTGGAATGAAATACTGAAGATTGACGTGTAAATGAAGAGTTTAATGTCAGTGCAGAGGCATAGTAGAACCTTACCAGGAGAGTAATGTGACAAGAGCAACATTGAACTTAAACCCCTGTCTTTGATGGCTAGAAAACAGGATAGCTTTAATAGGGTGCACCTGAGTAAGGAATGTCACACTGCTTGTATAAGTGACCCTTGGAGGGGGGGGGGGGGCGGGCAGCAAATCCCTTTGTTTTGTCTTTTGTTTCTGGGCCATGTTGTGCAGGCTTACTCCTGGTGGCACTTGGGGGGGTCATCTGAAGTGCCAGGGATTGAGCCAGGCTTGGCCACGTGCAAAGCGAGTCCCTCACCTTCTCTGCTGTCTCTTCAACCAGGGTAAATTCATTTGTACAAAACTACTTCCCAGAGCCTCCTAAGGGAGCAGCTTCGTCCTCTTGCCTGTCTTTAAAATTCTGGTTATGATAAGAGTTGGGGAGGAAGTAAAATTTGATTGATTTGTTTTTCCCAGCTGCATTTTTTTTTATTACAGGGGTGCGATAAATAATAGTGAGACCCCAGGTCTAGAGTGTCACCCCCATTTTGTGTGAGCCCTGTCTCCCCACTCCTCTTGAGCATTGCCCTTTTTTATCTTTTCGTCTTTTCCTTCCTATCTCCCTTCCTCCCCGTGGCTGTGACTGCTGTCTCACGGCGGCTCTGCCTGGTTGTGAGGCTCATTCACTCCAGGTGCTGAGCTCAGGGGCCGGGGAGGGTCCTGTGTTTTCTTAGCTGTGTTTGCACATCCGCCCGCTGGAGGCTGGCCTTGGTTAGTGGAGCTGTTCCCTCCTGCTGGTTGTCCTCAGAGCAGGCTCTGACCGGGCCCTGTGTTGCGAGCATGCAGGCAGTGTGTCCTTCTTGCCAGGCAGGTGCTTTAGCTACTGAGGCCCCTCCTGAGGTCTCTCTACGGTAACCTGAGCGTCAGGTGCAGTCCCCGAGGCTCTGTGGGGCCCACATCCGGGTCCTTCCTGCGGTTCACTTCACTAACTTCCCCCTTCCCTTAGCCTTGCTCTCTCCCTCTGTGAAATCCGCTCTCCTTTCCTTCCTGCCTGGCTGTTTTGGATACCCCGGTGCTGGCCCGCCCATGCTCACCTGCCCTACCTGCCTTACCCGATCTCCTGCTTGCAGACCAAGGCCAGCTTGAGCTCCCATCAGCCTGGTTTGATATTGTTGGCCTTTTCCTGCTTTCTCCTTCTGATCCGGAAGTGAGCGGCTACCCGTGGCCCTGTACTTGAGTCTCTTTCTCTTTACACTAGGGCTTCTCAAAGCAAAGTATATTGTTAAATAAGCTGTGGGGGTTGGGGGGGCACACCCAGCGCTACTCCGGGGTTACTCCAGGTTCTGCACCAGCACCACTCCTGGCAGGCTCAGGAGACCGTATTGGGTGCTAGGATCAAACCTGGGCCGGCTGGTCACATTCAAGGAAAGTGCCCTGCCTGCTGCTGGAGCGATAGCACAGCGGTAGGGCGTTTGCCTTGCACGCAGCCAACATGGCCAACGCGAGTTCGATTCCTCCGCCCCTCTCGGAGAGCCCGGCAAGCTATCGAGAGTATCTCGCCCGCACCACAGAGCCTGGCAAGCTACCCGTGACATATTCGATATGCCAGACACAGTAACAACAAAGTCTCCGATGGAGACGTTACTGGGCCCGCTCGAGAAAATCGATGAACAACGGGGGGACAGTGATCGTGACCGCCCTGCCTGCTGTAGTATCCAGTTTCCGAATTTATGAAAAAGTATCTTTTATTTTTTGTCAGGGGTGGGGGGATGCAGTGCTCTGGAGCTACTTCTGACTCTATTTGAGGGGCACTCCTGGAGGTGCTCCGGGGACCATGAATCGCTGGGAATCAAGCCAGGGGTGAGCCTCTTGCAGGCAAACACCTAATCTGCACAAGGCCAGCAACTAACCTCTCTCTCCCTGGCCTCTGGGAACGTTTGTTTCAAAGCTTAGGTGGTACTTCAGTTTCAATCATACTGTTGTTGTTGTTTGTTGTTTGTTTGTTTGGGGAACACCCAGTGAGATAGTTGCTCTGGGGCTTGTTTGGGAATTAGCAGCGCTTCTCTGCAGGGTGGAAGACCATGTGTTTCAGGGTTCGCCCCCTGTGCCCACCACACAGAGCATTCGTGCAAGCCCTTGGAGCTGTCTTCCCAGCTAGACCTTAGGTTTTCGTCCTGCCTTTTGTTTTGTTTCTATTCTGTATTTGTTTTTGTTTATTTTTAATTGCATCTCTGTGAGATGAACAGTTAGAAAGTTGTTCATGATAAGGTTTCATATAGTGTTCCAACACCTGTCCCTTCATCAGTGTACATTTCCCACCACTAATTTCTCCTGGCCCCCCCGCCCCCACCTACTTCTATAGCAGTCACTTTTCTTCTCTCTGTCTCTCTCTTTCTCTTCTCTCTCTCCTTTTCCCTGCTCCCTCTTTTTCCTTTTGGTTTAAAATACAGGTGCTAAAAGATATGTTTGTTCCTTTCCCTCCTTCCAGCAGTCAGTTCTTGTCCAGAATGATCATTCCCAGCTATTATTGCCATCGTGGCCTTTTTCTCTACTAACTGCCCTCTGCTTCCCACATACTTGGGCAAGCTGCCAACCGTGGACCAATCCTCCTGGCCCCTGTTTTTTCTGTCCTTGAATATTAGTCTCGTACTATGTTTTTATACCCCACAAACGAGTACAGTCATTCTATATCTGTCCCTTTCCTTCTGACTCATTGCAGCAGTCACCGTGATGCTCTCCATGTCCTTCCATTTATAAGCAGATTTCATGATCTCATTTTTCCTGGTGCCCACATGTAGTATTCCATTGTTTAAATATGCTATAGTTTCTTTATCTGGTCATCTGTTCTCAGACACGGGTTATTTGCAGATTTTGGCTCTTGTGAACAGTGCTGCAATGAACACAGAAGTGCAGATGGCGTTTTGCTGTGTGTTTTGGGGCCCCCAAGATATATTCCCAGAATATATTGGTATTGCTGTGTCAAATGGGAGCTCAGACAATAAACCCCTACGAATAGATAAAGCAACCCGTGGGAAAAAAGAAGACAGGAGGCATCACCATCCCCAGCTTTAAACTGTACTACAAAGCTGTAATAATTAAAACAGCATGATATTGGAGTAAAGACAGAATCACAGATCAATGGATTAGAGTTGAATATCCTGACACAGACCCTCAAGTATATGATTAAGTAAAGTAAAGGCCCTCCCGTTGATCATCGATTTGCTCGAGCGGGCCCAGTAATGTCTCCATTGGAGACTTTGTTGTTACTGTGTCTGGCATATCGAATATGTCACGGGGAGCTTGCCAAGCTCTGCCTGAGGGCGAGATACTCTCAGTCACTGACTGGGCTCTCCGAGAGGGGCGGAGGAATTGAACTCGGGTGGGCCATGTTGGCTGCGTGCAAGGCAAACGCCCTACCGCTGTGCTATATGATTACTTAATCTTTGATAAAGGAGCAAGAAATATAAAGTGAAGCAAGAAAAGCTTTTTCAACAAATGGTGCTGGAAAAAACTGGACAAAAAAAACTACATGCAAAAAAAAAAATCAATTCAGACCTCTTTCTAACACTAGGCACATAAGTCAGATCAAAATGTATTAAAGATTGTGGTATCAGACCTGAGTCCCTAAGGCACATGGAAGAAAGCATAGCAGAACCCTCCATGACACGGAAGCTAAAGGACATCTTCAAAGACGAAATGCCACTGACCAAGCAAGGGGGACAACATTAAACTAAGAAGCTTCTGCGCCTCCAAAGAAACTGTGACCAAGATACATACACAGCCCATGGAATAGGAAAGATGGTTTTGTTTTTAGTAACATTCCCAGCACTCCTTTGTTGAATCACGTTTAAACGCTCCTGCTTATTCTTTGTGGATTTCATGGATTCAGAACAATTCTCACCTGAGTCTATTCTCAGAAACCCGTGTCACCATTCACTACTTGTTGAATGTTCTATTAAGTACCCCTTAAGCGCCTCAGAATCAGTTCATATGAAACTGGGCTTGTTTGCCACCGCCTCCAGCCCCTCTTCTGTTTTAGACCAAGCCCAAATGTGCTTAGGACTTAATTCTTCCTCTGCTCAAGGACTGTTCCTGGGGGTCCTCAAGGGTCCATATGTCGTGTTGTAGTGCCGGAGATCCAACCCAGGTTGGCTGCGTTGCCCACTGTACTGCCTCTCTGACCCTGCTCTTTTTTTTTTGTTTTGGACCACCTGGCTGTGCTCACAGCCTGCTCCTGGCTCTGCTCAGGGCTCAGGGGACCATATGGATGCTGGAGATTGAACCCGAGTTGGCCGCATGCAAGGCGAGCGCCCTCCCTGCTGTACTACCACTCCAGCCCTGGTGCTTTCTTTTGTTACCAGTTTTTTCCCAGACATGGGGATTAGAAATATGGGTCCTCTTCGGTCTAGGTTGTGGCTCAGTGGTGTCCTTCCTATGTGAGACCCTGGGTCAGTGCCCCTGCACCCCAAAAAGTAACCTCAGTCATCTTCCTTTCTCATCTTCCACTAAGCAGTTATCAAATTCTGTTGATTCTACCTCCAAAATGACCTCATCTTTTCTTCCTTCTTCTCCGTTACCTTTGCCTTGTTCATCTTTTTCTGTTGGCTTAATTTGGGACCACACTCAGTGTTCGGCGCTCCTGGCTTTGCTGGGGGACCGTGGAGTGCTGGGGATCACTCTTGGGGCTCCCATTTGGAAATAATACTGCATCTCTGGTGGTTCTCCAGATTTGATCCGTACTATCCGAGACCCAGAGAAGCCTAATACTTTAGAAGAACTGGAAGTGGTGACGGAAAGCTGCGTGGAGGTTCAGGAGCTCAGCGAAGAAGATTATCTGGTTATTATAAGGTTCACTCCAACAGTACCTCATTGCTCTTTGGCGACTCTTATTGGTAAGGTTTGTTTGTCATTTTTCGATTCTAAAGTATCCTTACTTGTACTTGTATTGATGCAAAATATCAGTCAGCATCCGCAGTCAGAGCTTATGGTATGTAGAGAATTTCCAGATATTCACCACTTGGAGGTCCCACAGTCAAATCTCTCTGAGAGCTGGTGTATTATTATCTGCATTTTATAGCCTCAGAGGATTAGTGACTTGCTGAGGCCCGTGTAGCAGGAAAAGGGTGAATGAAGCTGAGGGTCAGATCCCGGTCACCCCTCCAAATGTGTCACTCCATGCAGCTTCTCTGAGTGGAGATGCAGATGCAGAGAGGCTGTGGTTTTTTGTTTGTTTTTGTTTTGCTTTTGCGGTCACACCCAGCAATGCTCAGGGGTTCCTCCTGGCTCTGCAATCAGGAATTACTCCTGGCGGTACTCAGGGAACCATATGGGATGCTGGGAATTAAACCAGCCACCTGCAAGGCAAACGCCCTACCTGCTGTGCTATTGCTCCAGCCCCCTGTGGAGAAATTTTGAGCAGGTAGTTTTCTGTTAGGGACTGCAGTCCTACTGTTGCAGATCAGTTAGCAAGAAGGTCTCTCTGGCGCAGGGACCTGGCTTCATACCAGTCCCCACCTCTGCGGGGCTCTGAATTCCCACCCCAGTGATCACTCCTGGCCCTGCCTTCCCCTGGTGATCTCCAGCTCACCTCTGGCACTGCTGGGTATGGCCACCACCATCACCACAAAAAAAATATATATATATATATTATATATATATATGGTTGGGCCAGACAGATGAGCTTCGCTGACTGGTGCGTCTCTTTGTGTGCGGAGGCCCTGGACGCAGTCCCAGTGCCACATGGTCCTCTGGGTATTGCCAGGAGCTGGAGCACGGCTTGGTGTGGGCCCCAGTAAGCAGAAAACAGGGCCACAGAAATAGAAAAGCAGGTAAGGCCTGAATGCAGCCAACTCCAGGTTGATCTGAGCACTAGTGCCCCAGAAGTGAACCTTGGGAGCAGTCCCTGATTCTCACCCAGTGTGGCCCAGCCCTCCCCACCCCCAGCCTCAAAATAAAAGTAAAAGTTGATATGGATTTCTTTTTTTTTAATTTTGTTTGTTTTGGGTGCATGTAGTGGTGCTCAGGGCTTAGTCCTGGCTCTGTGCTCAGTGATCACTCCTGGGAGTACTTGGATCATCTGGGGTTCTGGGGATTGAGCCAGGAACTGCAGCATGCAAGGCTAGTACCCTCCTTGCTATACCATTGCTCTGGCCCAGATACGGTTTATTTTAATCAGCAGGGGGTTGAGTAAGCAGTCATTGGCAGTCTGTATTATCAGTGGGATACTATGCACATATTAAAAAAATAGGCATCAGGGACTGAAGCGATAGCACAGCGGGTAGGGCATTTGCCTTGCACACAGCCAATCCAGGTTCAATTCCCAGCATCCCATATGATCCCCTGAGCACCACCAGGGTAATTCCTGAGTGCTTCACTGGGTCACTGTCACTGTCCTCGTTGTTCATCGATTTGCTCGAGCGGGCCCAGAAACGTCTCCATTGTGACAATTGTTACTGTATTTGGCATATCGAATACATCACAGGTAGCTTGCCAGGCTTTGCTGTGCGGGCGAGATACTCTCGGTAGCTTGCCAGGCTCTCCGAGAAGGATGGAAGAATTGAACTCGGGTCGGCCATGTTGGCCACTTGCAAGGCAAACGCCCTGCCCGCTGTGCTATCGCTCCAGCCCTGCATCACCGGGTGTGACCCAAAAAGCAAAAAAAAAAAAATAGACATCACTGGATCCTAAGATGACTCACAGTTATGTGCTTTGTGTGCTGGAGAACTGGGTTCAGCCCCCAGCATGAAGTGAGTGGGACTTGGGGTGTGGGTGGGAGGAAAGGAGCGCTCCCCATGGGCTGATAGAGAGATCTTTATGATAAGCTGTCCAGACATCAAGGCCAGGGGGTGGGAGAGACAGAGATTAAGATGCTTCCCTAACCGTCTGGTCCCACGTACCGCTTAAGTTTCCCTAAGCACTGCCAAGAATGACCCTGAGCAGAGAGCTAGGGAAAAAACTCAGAGAACTGCTGCATATGGCCCCCCAAAACCTTAAAAAGAAAAAAAGAGAAAAAGAAATAAAAGAAAGTATGCTATTACTATATTTGTATTTAAAAAAACAAAAAAAAAAACTATTTTAAAAGGTGCAAGAGAAAGCTCACTGGTCTGAATGCATGCAAGGTCCGAGGCCAATCCCCAGTACTGCAGGGTCTGACCACACGGCTAGGAGTAGCCTACGAGCAAACAGATTAGAATGGATACTTGTGTGTGTGTCTGTTTGCATATTCATAGAGAACACATCAGAAATGATGAGGCAGGGAGCTAGCACTGGGCTTAAAGTGGTTGCCATGCACAAAACTGACCTGGGTTCGATCCCTGGCACCACATGAGGTCCTCAGAGCCTTCCCAGGAGTGAAAGCACCAGAACCAAGCCCTGAGCACTGCCACGGATGGCTTCCAAACCAGAGTGTCTTTTTGTTTTGTTTTGTTTTGTTTTTGGGTCACTCCTGCCTGTGTGCTTGGGGATCACTCCTGGTGGACTCGGGACCCTATGGGATGCTAGGATCTAACTCAGGTCGGCTGCATGCATGGTGGGCACCCTTCCTGCTGTACTTTCAATCCTTCCTCAAACAGAAATCATTTAAAAGACAAATACTTCTTTTTTGTATCCATGTTACTGTGATCATTCTCTTCTCTCTGGGTCATAGGGGTTCCTCTCTCAGTGGGCGTCTTAGAAGAATAGGAGATCTTTAGAGCCCCTATACAGCTTTGGGGGTCTAAAGTTCCAGTGCTATGGCAGGAAGTGGGTGTTGGGGAAGGGATTGATGTTGGAATATTGTATATGTAAAACTCTGTCATAAATAACTTTAATTCACGGTGACACAATAGAAAAACAAAAAATCAAAAATAAAGTTCCAATGCTAGAAAAAGTATTATTGATTATATACTTATTCTTAAACTACTCCTTGAACCTGATTTGTAGGAGATGTTATATCTATAAATGGTACTATTATAATACCTATTTCATAGAACAGGAAACTGAGAAATAAATTGAACTCTGATTTGGGATTAAAGCGGTAAACTGAACTTGAAGGAGCTTGTTTAAGGGAAATTTCCTTTACCTGGTAAGGATAGAGGCAGATGCGAGAGGATCCTGGTCTCTGTAAGTTACTCCTGGTCGGGGGTTGGTCCTAGACCCAAATCTGCCGTTTAACTAGCGTGACGAGTTTCAGTGTGGCCGTGGCTTCATATTTGTAGAATCAGGCTGGCCTCACTGAATGCTCTGGGTTTTCTCAAGCAGTGTCTAAGGTGATTATTAACATGTCTAGTGTGGTCCAGGTTTCGGGCACTCACGCTGATGACGAGGACACCTGTGCAGTTGTGTGCCTTTCTAGAACCGGTAGGAGGAAATAATGGGCCTTTGTTTTCCTTCACAGGACTGTGCTTAAGAGTAAAACTTCAGCGTTGTTTACCATTTAAACATAAGGTAAAGAAAATGGTTTTTGGTGTTTAATAACAGCTTCATTGCAGTTGAATTCATATCCAACTCACCTATTTTTTCCCCTTTGTTTAAAATCATGGTTTATAAAGTTGTTCACGGTGCATTTGTTATAGGTATTTAACATTCAACCCAATCCCACCACAGTGTCACCTTCCCTCAGCTATTGTTCCCATTTTCCCATCCACCCCCCAAGGCAGCCCCCTTCGCAGGCACAAAATAATTTATTTCAGCAAACGAAGAATTTTGAAAATTGTTCTCACCACGGGGTCAACGGCAGTTGTCTGCAGCTTATATGCTAACGTGGTTGGCTCTGTAACCATCACTACTTTCAGTGTAGGAATGCCTTACTCCTGGCTCTTTGCTCGAGGATCACTCCTGTCAGGGGCTGGGGGACCATATGTGGTGTCAGGGACCAAACCCAGGCCAACAGCAAGGCCAGGGCCCTGCCCAGTCTCCAGCCCTCAGTTTGGGAACATTTTCATCACTCTGATCCAGAGAGATGACTCCAAGGCTGTGCTCACAGGAGACCATTGCTCCTCCCGGTGCTGCACATGGTTCCCAAGCACCTCCAAGAGCTCCACACTGGAAGGAACCCTTGAGCATACCTGGGGTACCCCAAACAAAAAGCAAAGAGGAGCTCCAGTTAGCAGTACCTTCCCATTCCTCCCAAGCCCTTCCCCATCCCTAGACAAAAACGACTGTATTTTTGTTTTGACGGACTCCCCGAGTCTGGTTAATAAATGAAGTAAGTGTGTGAGCTATTAAGTCTGTCTCCCTCACTTAGGGTGATATTGTCAGGATTGTCCATGTTGTAGCCTGCCAGTATCTCTTTTCTTTTTACTCCATCAACTATATTTACTTGGTGGACATAGCACATTTTATTTTTCTGTTTGTCCATTGATGGACATTTGGGGTGTTTCCACTTGCTGTTTATTATGAATGATGCTGTTTGAATTTTCATATGCAAGTGTCTACATGGCTTCGTGTTCTCGTTTCTCTTCCACCTGAGAGTGGAATTGATGGTAATTCTGTGTTTAACCATTTTTAGAACTGCCTCAACACCCCCCCTGCAGTGTGTGAAAGGTCCGATTTCATTCTGAAGGAGTTCAGCAGGGCTATCTTGACCCATAGCATAGTTGAGAACACAAGATGGCACTAGATGAAAGAAGGATTCTGAAAATTTTATATTATGATCCAGTTTTTTTTTGGTAAAAGAAGCCCTCAGCTTTGGCAAATGTGTATGCATTTGTGTTCAATCTGTATTGCATGATGTAGATATGTGAAAATGAGGGAAGAAACTATACTGGGTTATATGACTTTTAGGGGACATGGGCCAAGGAGAAAGTTTAGATACTTTAGATATAGATTTGGGATGGCGGGATGACTCAGTGGGGAGGCCTGTGTGCTCTGCATGGGGAACCTCTCATTCAACCCTCTTGGCACCACAGGGTACCCCAGGAGCCCTGTTGGGCGTGGTCCCCCAAATTTAAGTAATGATTTGGGAGGAAGAGGTTGAGTGCAGGAATGCAATATTTATGTGTAAAAGTATATGAGAGCTCGTCTATATAAAATCCTGTTTGTGTGTATCAATACTGGAGTTAATATCCCAGCAGAGCTTCCCAGGTACCCCGGAGGAAAAATCCTGTTCATTCAGGCTGTGTCAGGGTTTGTCTCTAAGGCTTTGGCATTGGAAATAGGATTTGGGTTTTTCGCCCCTAGACTCTTGACGTCACTGAACATTCCATCTCACTCATCATCTTAGAATGTTCTAAATGTTTTTGCTATTTTCCTCCTAGTTGGAAATCTACATTTCCGAAGGCACCCACTCCACAGAGGAAGACAGTAAGTGAATCGTGAGTCATATTGAAAACAGCTTCAGAAAATGCTTCATCCCAAATACCAATGATTCTACCAGCCAAGTATCTATGTGACATTTCCTCCCCAAATGTATTTAAAAAAATATAAAATGATTTATTAGCTTCCTCAAAGTGGGGAAACCTAGATACTTCAAGGAAGGATTTTGGTTAGTGAGAGCCCGGGTAAGGATTTTGGTTAGTGAGAGCCAGGCTTTGTGGTTTGAGCTTTCGTGACTTGGTAAACTGAGGAGCTGGAAAAGGCAGAGGAGAGGAAGAGATGGTAATGGAGTGAGATAACAAAGGAACACAGTGACAGAAAAAAGCATTTTCAGGAAGAGAAGCCCCCAAACAGGAACCCAGAGGCCCTTGCTGAGCAGACCCGGTGCTTTCTGAGGAAGAGGTTGTCCAGGAAACTCACTGCATGCTATCAGGAAAACAACACCATGTCCACTTAGACCATTTCAGACAGGTTATTTTACTCTCATGGGCTGAATTTATACCGGCCCCAAAGTTAATTGACTTCTTGATCATAATTTATGTGATCAGAGAGCTCAGTACCCTAATCCCACACAGCACACAGACGGGGCTTTTGAAATTCCTCTTGACTTGAGGGTGATTTAGTAATGATAGTATTAAGCCTTTGATGTGTCACTTAGTAAGGGGATATTTATTAAGTGCCTTCTACATGCGCACATAGTGTACCTTTGAAACACACAGTTGCCCATGCACCCTCCCTTGGAGAAGGAAGGAACAGAAAGTAGGAACAACTAGATGCTTTCCATGTGTTTGCGCTTCCCACACTGTTAGTCAGGCTGTGGACATTTCTCTTCGCACTCTTCCATCAAGAGTACTCTTAACAAAGTTCGACACTAGATAATGGGGTAACAGCTTTATTACTTGTTGCTCATTGTATACTGGTTTAAAACAAGAAACCCCTTGGGGTGGTGGAGTGAGGGATGAAATGAGCTAGAAGCAACTTAAGGACAGTGCTGAGGGGTTTTGTGGTGATGAAACTGCAATGATTTTGTACATTAAAACATAGATGTGTGGGGCCAGAGTCATAGCAGTGCAGTGGGGAGCCTTCCACATGACTGACCCAGCCTCAGTCCCCAGGATCCTGTGCTGGGGACCATATGTCAGGAGTAATTCTTGAGTGCAGAGCCGGGAGTAACCTCTGAGTACCACCAGGTGTGCCCTCCCCCCCAAATATATGCAAATACAAATTAAGACAGCTACATAAACACACAAAGCCAGTGGTGGAAATGGCTCTAAATTATTGTAATTGACAATTCCTTCTTAGGAGATAGATCCTTTCCCCATAGTTATCAGTTCTTCACATGTGACTTTTCTGTTCATTCCTCTTCCCATTAACCTACTATGTCCTTTTTAAATTAACTTGATAAAATTTGTACTGTAGTTGAAGTAACAGGATTCCAGTAGTTCACGTGAACTCCTGTTACCTCAACTACAGTACAAATTTTATGAGGTTAATAATGGGAAATAATTTGGTGGTGTGAATCAAGCCTTACGAATACCCTGGGTGTGGCCATGTCATCCCAAACAGCTTCATATGCATGCGTTGAACAGCAATCGTGGTACAGAATAATCCTGGGCTTCCGGCGCATGGCCTGGGAAGCAGTCCCACCCCCACCCCCACCCCCCACCTCTCAGAGGAACTCAGGGTGGGGAAGAGTGATGTTTGAAGTTGTATTTAAGCTGGATACAATCATACAGAAATATGTTTCTGGACAAAAACTGCAAAAAAAGAAATAGGTGCGGTAGATGGGATAAATAATAGGATCGCAGGTGGTATTTTTCTCTGAAAGTCTCCCCAGATTAGCCAGAACTGATGAGCCAAAACTCACTCTCATTTCTCCAAGAGCTCAACTCTGTTTATACCTTTTCCTGGTGTGAGGTGATCAGAGAAATGCTCTCATTGGCTAATAAAATACTGTCATTCCATATTGACTCTGCGCCACTAACGTTTGCTGTGTGTTTTGCAGTCAACAAGCAGATAAATGACAAAGAACGAGTGGCAGCTGCAATGGAGAACCCGAACTTAAGGGAAATCGTGGAACAGTGTGTCCTCGAGCCCGACTAAGGAATATTTTAGGAGCCACAGAACTGCTGTTTGTAAAATGTAAAAGACTCGTGTTTAATACCTAGGTGGTTTGTACCTCAAAGCATTTTTTTTAGATTATTTCCAAACAAGAATTAATTCAAAGTATTACCTACTTTGTTTCATGTATAACATTCTCAGGATTTGTAACACTTAAAAATGATCAGAGAAAAAAATATTTTGTAGTTACTATGTGTAAGATGAGTTGCTATTTTTCTGATACTACTTTTCATGTTAACTATTTACCATACCCAGTTGTATTCAATTTAAATCATTGCTCTTTAAAATAAAGCAGAGTTGATTCTTAAAATGATGTACCTTCGAATTTTTTTAAATTGAATTTACAATATACAGGTAGACTTATACATATTTCTGAGCTTGTTTGGTTTTTTTTTTTCTTTTTTGTTTGTTTGTTTTTTTGTTTTTGCTTTTTGGGTCACACCCAGCAATGTGCAGGGGTTTCTCCTGGCTCTGCACTCAGGAGTTACTCCTGACGGTGTTTGGGGGGTCATATGGGATGTCGGGGATCAGACCCAGGTCGGCAGCTTTCAAGGCAAACGCCCTCCCTGCTGTACTATCGCTCCTGTCCCTGAAGCTTTATTTTTGCTGAATTACAATACAGAATGGGCTGGAGCAATAGCACAGCGAGTATAGGGCGTTTGCCTTGCACGCAGCCAACCTAGGTTTGATTCCTCAGCCCCTCTCAGAGAGCCCGGCAAGCTACCGAGAGTATTCCACATGCACGGCAAAGCCTGGCAAGCTACCTGTGATGTATTTGATGTGCCAAAAACAGTAACAGGAAGTCTCACAATGGAGACATTACTGGTGCCTGATCAAGCAAATGGATGAACAATGGGAGGACAGTGCTACAGTGCTACAATACAGACTTGGTCTCGCCTTCTCCCAGGGACAGCAAATTGTTACCTGGAGAGGAATAAACTGGGGAGGAATAATATGGAGAGGCCCAGGTGACAGTGCCATTTGTCGGGGGAGGTTGTAGGGTGCAGGACATGAGGTAATGCTCAGGGACACTCCTGGTGGTATCTGGGGGATCATACATGGTGCCAGGAATCGAACAGGATTTGGCTGGGTGCAAGGCAAGTTCCTTAACCTTTCTCCCATTTTTCTAGCCTCATTGTAGTAGAATTGTGAAGAGCAAGAAGTCCCAAGGAGAAACTTCATTCAACCAGTGTCTCTTCTTTATTTGTCTTGTGTTTGGTTTAATTGAGAAAATAACAGCCCTCTGAAATGTGACAATGTGGTGGGCGGGCTCCAGGGGCCTCCGTGACCCCCCATCCGTGCTCCTGCCTTGAGTGCCTTGCGTAGTCAGTCTGTCCCTTCCTGCTGGGTAACGAACGACCTCGACCTAGACCTGCCGCTGTCTGCAACTCTGCCCCTGCAGTGGCTCACTCATCCTTTGGGAGGTCTCCAGCCTGTCCCAGCAGCACAGGAGCCACTCTAGAGGGTCTACACAGAGGAGTAGCCTCCCCCACACCTGCACCAACCTGAACACCACGTGAGTGACTCACGCTGGGAGGTTCCCCCAACCTCAGTGACAGCCTGATTGGAATCTCATGATTCTGAGCCAGACAGTGCAGCTGCTGGATTCCTGAGGGGGAGGCCTCCAGGAGCATACATGTTTATGCCAGGAAGTTTGGGGTATTTTGTTATGTAGCAATAAAAATAACTAGCATACAAGTTAATAGCTGAAGGTTTTCTGTCCAAATTCAATTGAAAATACTAGACGGGAAAGCTGGAGAAACCTGATCCCTGTATCTACCTTGGGTATATATATGTAGCTTTCGAAAAAATAGGACTCGGTAAGCTTAATGAGATTTCTTTTGGTAAAATGGCTGCTGTAATAGTTCTGACCCTCTTTTAGCATCTGCTCCTTGTGCTGAGCAGAATCGGGTGTTCGGGGGTTACGTATGTTGATGCTCAAAGGCTATTCCAGATTCCAAGTGGTGTTTCCAGGATCGAACCCAGGCCTCCTGGATGCAAAGCAAGCGCTCCAGCCTGCCAATCCATCTCTCTTGGTCCAGGGAGGAGAATTTTAGGACAATGTAGAGTATGAAAATGTGTGCACTTGGCAGGCTCAGAAAACTTGTCTGAGAAAGGCCTGAGAAAGTGAAAGTGTGCTGAAGGCTGGTGTATGATGCCCGCCCAGGAAATCTAGGGGACAAAACAAGGCAAGGTCACGGGCTGATGGCTGAGCTTACCTGCTGCATCCGAGCAGCACAAAACCAACTGTGCAGGAGAGAGGCCATGTTGGCCGAGATAGGTTGAGAGGATGCCCGCCAGCACAGACTGGAGGACACCGTGAGGGGGCACAGGTTCTGGTTTTATGCCTGGCACAGGAAGAGGGACATTGCAGCTTCTTCACACTCAGGAAACATGCGTGAGGGAGGCCAGTGAGCATGCACAGTTGAACCTAGAACCTATGTCACATGTATAGAAAATGGCACAGTAGTGTCATCTGGGGTGTGCGTTGTATGGTAATGAAGACCTAGGAGGTCAAAACAGGTTCTACTGCACAATCTGCACTGGCTGATACTCTACAGCCAGGGGCTGGGGTCCTTGATAGAGAAAAGCTCTAGAGGTTCCTCTGGGCCAATCAGAGCCAACAGAATGCAGCGGAGCAGCTTATCCAGGGAGGGGCGGTCACACCCTTTCAACTACGGGCCTCAGTCCATCTGTTTTTTCCTATCACCAGAGAGTGCTTCTAAATTTGGGAGGGGCGGGGATGCAGAGCAATAGTACAGTGGGTAGAATGCTGGCCTTGCCCACAGCTAACTTGAGTTCGATGCTTGGCACCCTGTATGGTTCCCTGAGCCTGTCAGGAATGATCCCCAATTGCTAAGCCAGGAGTAACCCCTGAGCACCTCTGGGTGTGGACCCAAAACAAAAAGTCCTAAATTTGGGAGAGGGAAAGAGAAGGGCTGAAGTTTCAAAGAGCTTTGACAGTATCAAGGGATTTATGCAACTTTTTCACGAGTCACTGTCAGTGTCACTGTCCTCCTGTTATTCATCGATTTGCTCGAGCGGGCCCAGTAATGTCTCCATTGGAGACTTTGTTGTTACTGTGTTTAAGGTAAAGGTAAAGGCCCTCCCGTTGATCGTCGATTTGCTCGAGCGGGCCCAGTAACGTCTCCATTGGAGACTTTGTTGTTACTGTGTTTGGCATATCAAATACTCTTGGTAGCTTGCCGGGCTCTCCGAGAGGGGCGGAGGAATCGAACTCGGGTCGGCCATGTTGGCTGCTTGTAAGGCGAACGCACTACCGCTGTGCTATGGCTCCAGCCCAAAGTAAAGGTCCTCCCGTTGATCATCGATTTGCCTGAGCGGGCCCAGTAACGTCTCCATTGGAGACTTTGTTGTTACTGTGTCTGGCATATCGAATACTCTCGGTAGCTTGCCGGGCTCTCTGAGAGGGGCGGAGGAATCGAACTCGGGTCGGCTATGTTGGCTGTGTGCAAGGCAAACGCCCTACCCGCTGTGCTATCACTCCAGCGCCCTCCGAGAGGGGTGGAGGAATCGAACTCGGGTCGGCCATGTTGGCTGCGTGCAAGGCAAACGCCCTACCACCGTGCTATCGCTCCAGCCCTTTCACGAGTCATGCTGTGGAATCACATTTGACTCGAAGCCAGGGTCATACTCCACAAAATGGCATTGGGTTATTCAGTAGTATAGTAGCAACACCCTTGCATGTGCGAGACCCAAAGCAAGTGATCACACATCTGCCATGGTCAAGGGGTACAGTGAGACCTTGAGAAAGGTCTAGGCGTGCCCAGAGGGGATGGAGCCAACCAGCCGAGTAAGAACTATCCCATCTCAGGCCTCCCTCTTCCAGAAGGTAGAATAACTAGCAAGTGCAGTTGAAGAGAAAAAAGATAAAGAACTCTGTCACAGTGCTCCCACTAGAAGTGAGGGTGAAGGGCAAGGGGTGAGTTGAGCCACACACACAGTGTTTGGGGCCTACTCCCAGCTCTGTGCTCAGAAGTCACTCTTGGCAGTGTTCAAGGGATCATGTGGTGGCGGGAATTGAATTGGGGTCAGCTACGTGCAAGGCACATTTGCCTGTGCTATCTCCAGCCCTCACTGTGTGACTCCAGATTCTCCAGTTTTCTTCCAGATCCTTACAAACAGGTCACCTGACCTTTACAACTCAGACCCAAAGTAACAGTACATGATTTTCAGTCACCATTGCAATCATTCTGCTCTGTTACAAGCCTACTATAAATGGGCTTTAAGATCCACACTAGGGTTTTGTTTTGTCTTGTTTTGTTTTTAATTGATTCACTGTGAATTACAAAGTTATATAAATATTCATGATTGAGTTTCAGGCATACAGTATTCCAACACCACTCCCTGCACTGGTGTCTATTCCATGCCCCACCCCCCCACTGGCCTACCTCTGTGAAGGCACTTTTCTCCTCCACCACTCTCCCAGTGTTCCCATCCCTAACTTATTCCCAACTCCACCCCAGTACCAAACTTCCTACTGAAGAACAGTTCTCCTGCTCTTTGTTTCTAATCGTGTTTTATATTCCTCCACGAAGTTCTTATATCCCACATGTGAGAGAGATCATTCTGAATCTTCCTCTCCCCCTGACTTCACACAACATAATACTCTCCAGACCCATTCACATAGCAACAAACTGCATGACTTCATCTTTCTTTATGGCTGAGTAGTATTCCATTGTGTCTATGTACCATAGTTTCTTTATCCTGGTATCTCTTGTTGGACAATGGGTTGTTTCCAGATTTTGACTGTTATGAGTAGTTCAGTTTCACTGAACATAGGAGTGCAGATGTCTTTTCTGCATGGTGCTTCTGCAGTCTTAGTCTTGGGGTCTATTCCCAGGATTGGAATTGCTGGATCAGTAGAAGCTTCATTCCTAGTGTTTTGAGGAATGTCCATGTTGTCTTTGAAAAAGGCTGGCCAGGTAGATGTTCTCACCAGTAGTGAATGAGCCCCCCCCCTCTTTTCCCTCACATCCTGACCAGCACTGGTTGTTATTGTTCTTTGGATGACTGCCAGTCTCTGTGGTATGAGGTGATATCTTAATGTGTTGATTTGCATTTTCCTGATGGCTAGTGACATAGAGCTTTATTTCATGTGTCTTTTGGCCATTTGTATTTATTCTCAGAGGAAGTTTCTGTTCATCTCCCCATTTTTTAATGGGGTTGGATGGTTTTTCTTTTAGTATTTTATAGAACTTGGATACTAATACTTTGTTGAATGAGTGGTGGGCAAGTAGTTTCTCCCAGTCTGCGAGCTGTCTTTGTATTCATGTCATTATT